ACAAGTCTATTAAACAAGCGTAAATCAATTAAGATATTAAAGTAGTAAAAGGGTTAAGAAACAAAATCACCCAAAAACCAATAAATGTTAACATTTTACAGAAGCATGTAGAACAGTAATAAAATGTTAGAAGTTAAAATTCGGTATAAAAGTTAAAAAGCAGAACAAGTTAAGAATCAAATCAATTAGTTAAAAATTGATAAACACAATACAAGTTAAATCCTGGAGAAGTTTAAAATGTTGGTAGATAAAAACGCAGCACACCAGCAATAGTGTTCGCAGGCTCCGAGCAGAGTTAAATGTGATTCAGAATGTCCCCTAATGTTGCTTTTATAATTTTTTAACAATGTTTCTACAGACCAACTTAGCAAAGCATTGATGCAAATTTTGTCCTGCAAGATGGTTTCCAGGGAGTGTCTGGAAGTGTGGACTGTTCATGATCAAGTGTTCGATTGTTTGATTGTCCCTACAGTAGGTACAGTTTGGGTTTTTATTGAAAAGTCTTGTATTATCGATATGAAGAAAAGCTTAAAAAAACGCTCTAGTGTCAGTTACTGAAGGAAGAGGAAAATGAACCAGAAAAATTTCAAATTAATTCATGAGTAATATTTCATTAAATGAACAACCTCTGCTGCGTGTTTTATTTTCTTCGGACAATTTTTAAAGATTTGGAGATTTCTTCAATTCAGTACTTCTTCCAAAATTTTATAATTTTCAGCAGTTTCAAAGAGTGGAAATATTGCTGAAGAATTATAAGGAAATTATAAGTAATATTTTATTCTATGCACAACTTTGAGTAATTTGTTTTTATATATGTTTTGGAAATTTGAAAAATTCAATAAAATTGGCAGTTTCGTGAAAAACTTCAGAACTTTAAGGCTTTTGCGGGGAAGGAAGATGTTGCATGAAAATTCTAAGAAAATTCATGAGTGATATACTAGAGACCATATACAACTTTTTGGGAGGTAGTGCTTTTCAATCATCGAAAACTGTTGTCTTTCGCTGAACCCTAATATGCATACGTACGTACATACGTATATGTACGTGCTTACTTCATTTATAAACATTATATGTAAATACGTACACACATGGCATGCACAAATACACACACAAACATACATTGTATGCACGTATGTATGCACATTCTATGTATACGCATCACCCAACCATGTTCAACCACCTTATCCGATATTTTAGACTCTATCATGCTAGGTATATATTGTATACAATGCATACATAGCAACACTATATAACATACATTGAATAAAATGTATAAGCACTGTGTAGTGTAAAATTTCTATGGACTATGAAGAAAAAAAAATTGAATCAAAGTTACCTCATTTGAAATCAGTTTTGGGTCAAGTAAAAACGCAAAACATTTAGAGTAAAAAATTTGTGCAGATTTTAATGCCAATAAGTCTTCATCAGAATAAGTCCTTCAAATATATTTGAGTTTAAAATAGTCTGAACCAATAAAAAATTAAGTTTGGTTTATCTCAAGCATGCAGCAATAGACAGCGTCATACGAATTTTATGTTGTTAGAATTTAAATTTTGTAATTCAAATAAAAAGAAACTGTTTCTCACTGAAATTCTAATCCTCACTCCTTCAATTAATGAAGGCTTAAAATTGACAGAAAAATCTATCATACGCTAAAAAAAAATTATAATTTATAGTTGATCCATAATATTAGTACCTTGAATTACAACACGATACAAATTTGCAGCTAATTTTATTAGATATAAAATGAAACTGTATTTTAGTTTAAATTGAACCATAGTATCGTATAATTAAGGATGTAAAGTTCCATAATATAGTTCAATGATTTGAATATTAAGAACGTCCATACTGTTCAATATGCTCTAAAATTTCTACCCATGCAATTGACAGATGTATTATGAATTATAAGTTTTCAAAACTTTAATTTGCAGATTGATATGCCCATTCACCCATTTGTTGTTTCTTCGATTCGCTTACCTAGAAAAATAAACAATATGGCTTTTTGCCTATTCCTTTGACAAAGCGAGCACCTTTTTATTATTGTTGTTGTTGTTGCTAATGCATCTTGCCACACGGACAAGCCAACTTGGTGAAACCGAAAAAATTTATGGCAGAGGGTGCGTTTCTTGTTTTTTACAGGCCCATGGCCAAGAATTCGTCTTCATCCACACACACGTCACAGCCCGTTTTTAATAGGGCGGACCCATTCATACATCTATTCATACATCCATCCACAGATCGTAATTTTGACCTGAATCAGAGAATGATCGATCTCTAATCCAGTTCCCCCAAAAGTATTGATTTGTTATAGGAACATGGAGGACTTTGCAACTCGGCAGATTTAGCGTGCATCAGTCACCATTTACTACACGGGGAGTCATCGGCCGGCGGGGTTCGAAATCACTAACTCTCGGACATGGGCCCAGTGCCCTACCGACCAGGCTATCCCGGCCTTTCATTGATTTTTATTATTAATTTTATCAATCCAAAATCACTTTTATAATTTATATATTCGAAAAACTATTGGTATTATTGTTAGAGTAATAAAGAATTATTTAAATTAATTTTAATGTATTAAAATATAGAATTTACTGGTTATAAAAATTTTTAACGCTTACACTATTTTGATGACTTTTTTAATACAATGTTACGGTGCTTAAAAAAATGGATTAAAGCAGTTTATTCGTTAATTATGATTTTACACTGTATGTGTGGGTAGAAATGAGGCATCAACTTTCATTCTACATTTTGGAAACAATTCACCGTTAGTAGAGAATTAATCATCTGAAATTTATTCAATTTTGGCTAGATTTCAAAATTATGGTTATTGTTTGGATCTAACCTGCGTAAACTTTTAAATCTAGAAATACAAAAAGGAATGGTTAGTATTATATGTTAAGCTAATCTTCTTATTATTTTCTACTTGTGATAGTTAAAAAGTTTAAATTCGAATGAAAGTATAACTAGCTGCATATATAATGGAAAGATTTGCTCAATAGTAAATATCATACAAAAATGTTTTTTTTTCTGAAGATATTACGTCTGAAACAGGATTCAGAAAAATTAGAGCGTCTATACTTTTGTTTTTTAAATTAAAAAAAGCTGTTTCAGTGTAAGACATTTATATTATTAGTTGTTCAATCTTAAAAGAAAATTGTACTCTTTTCAAATGCAGTTTTGCGAAATCAAACCATTATTTATTGTTTATCATCGTTCATTAATCATACATTATTGTTGCTTAGTTATGTAGATCACAAATGTCCTTCTTATTATTCTCATAATAATTCTGAAAACAAAAGGTTTCAGAACTGAGTTGCATATAATTATGAATATATAAGGTGTTTCGTGAACACCACCTTAAATATTTATTTTTAGAATTTGTGCCAACTACGAAGTACAGAAAGTATGCACCTTTGGAGTCACAAATAAGTATTTAAGAGATTGAAAAATTAAAATATTATAGAAATCTATTGAACTACTACTGAGGAAGGCGAGACTTAAAACATACAATTTTGTTTCAGTGTCAAAGAAAAATTACAGGTGTTTCTAATAATCATCTCTTAACTCTTTGACGCAGATGAGATACCAGTGTTCGTATTTATAATTTTTTCCGACGCTATAATTACAAGCATAAATATATTTTGGTATTTTTTAATCTTAAAAATAATCCAGTCTAATAGTCACTAAAAAAAATACTAGATTGTCGGGATAGTATTTGTTTCTAAATATGAAGTCCAGTTAGAAAAAAAGTAGTTAAATTTTTTTTTCATTCGTATTCAACTATTTATAAATAACTATTTTTGTTAATTAAAGAAATTTCAATCATGAATAAATGTTTCTCTTAAATCCAAATAATTGTATATAACAGCACATTTGAAAAGTTATTGCTTGTAAGAGAACCGTTTTCGGAACGTTTCACACGGAAAAAGACACCAGTGTTTCATGCTATATTTCATACCCTATACAGGCTATTAAAACCCTAAATATAATATTTTTCACTTATTTTGACCTAAATTGAAAGAAAACAATGCAAAACTATAACAAATATGTTTGATAAATATTCTGTGTCAGAGGGTTAACTCTTCTCTACTCTCTTCACGATCAAACAGGTTTTCATGCTTTAAATCCCGTTTTCCTCAATAGTAACTTATTAGATTTCGATGTGATTTGACTCAGCTAAAATATCATTTTGCAAAACCTATAGTGTACACTTTTTTTGTATTAAGAGAGGTTATAAAAAAACACCCTATAGAACAGTATTATTACTAGAAAAAGTCATGTAATACACTTGGAAAAAAAATGTTTATTTGTACACCGTTAGAAATTTTTCAGAAAAAATGGTTAAGTAGCAATTTAGTTAATTGTTATTTTACCATACTCAAACTAAACAGTCAAGTAACCATGAATAAGATTATTAACCGCTTTCACCCAATACTATTAAACAACCAGAATTTAATCGAAATAACTAGGACCATCTAATGAAGCCATCACTTAGTTCGTGCAGATGGGTACATATTATAGCCGAAAGGGGTAATCTGTACAACTCATGACTGACAAAACAGGGGTTTGTGCTCTGATGTTGACACCATTCCGTTCAATCTTCCTTATTTCCTCCATTCCCTTCAACAAGAGTTTCCACAGTCCTGCTGTCCCCAATAAGCGAATACGATACTCCCCTGGGATATTAGTATACGATACTCTCATTCAGGTATAGAAGGTAGCACCGTAAAGCTTCTGAACTATCGCCAATGCCCAGTTAAATTTCTTTTTCACAGTTTTTAAACCATGTTAGCTGTAAATAGTTAAGAAACCGTATAGTTTTGTATTCACGATTTTTTAACCGTACTAGTTGTAAACGGTTTCAAATCCGTAAAAGTAAAAAATGTTCTTTATAGTAAATTTTACGGTAAAGTGGATCGACAGACGTCCACCGGTTATTTATCATAATTTAAGAATAAAAATTCTTACAGTATATAAAGAACAGGCAGTAAAACAGGCACTCAAGCTTTCAATTTTATTTATTACTATTCAGCTCCTTTCTTGTTAGTTTCACTCCCCAATCCTTATATTTGTTTCGCAGTTATCATTGTTTCACGTTGTAAAACAAAAGTTCCATTTAAAAAAATTGACCTATTACTGAACCGTCAAAATGAGAGTTTTATTTCTGAGAGTGAGCAAGAACGTTAAATCAATATTACAGGGCATTTTAAGGATCGTTATGAAATGATTTTCGCTCTTTCTCGATTAAGCTACCTGGTTCTCTTGCATCCCATTGGTTCTCTGAAAAATGAAATTTTGCTTCATCAAATATTAAAAAAAACGACAAAAATCATAGAACAATAATCATGCATTAAAATCAAACTAGGTGAAAAGAAAATTTCTGAAAAGAAACAATAGACACGAGAAAATGAAATTTTTTAATAAAATGAAAGAATAATAAAAATGTAATGAATCGGTCATTAAGTTCTTGGGACTTAAACTATTTAACTGATTTTATTAAAATGGGTTCTGTCTTTTGAAATTGTGTTCTCCGTGGAATTGGAAAAATTATTACGTCCTACAACTTCAAATAGTTTCTATTTTTCATAAAATAATGGCGAAGATAATTATCAAAAAGCATTTTGCATGAAACTATTTTAGGGTAAAACTATAAATGGTTACAAAACAATTTGGATTCACGTTAATGGAAAAATTCTATTAAGGAGCCGAATCTTCCTGAGTGTTTCTTTACTAAATTATTAGAACCATATTTTCTAACTTCGGTCAAAATTATGAACAATCGATTTCATGTTATTCAAGAGAAAGTATATTTCTTTTACTTGTTTTGGTACTTGTTATTTGCTTTATAATTTAACGTTCGTTATTCGATGCTCTTCAAGAGTTAAAAAAAATGACAAAAATAGTAGAGTCCATGAGTCTAGACCAGGGGTTTCCAACTTACTTGAGGCCGGGGGTCGCAATTAAAAACACCAGTCAAATGGTGGGTTGCAACTCTATCAAATTTTATATAGGACAACTTTATGTTTGAAGGAACATTAAATATTACTGTCAGATTTTTATCAAGTTGTGCAAAACAAAAGTATTGCATTACAAATTAAAATAAGAAGTAGATTTTTAAAAATATTTAATTGCATATTAAAAAGTTCTGGCTGCAATAACTTTAATGTGCACCGATGTACTAAACAATTAATGTGCAACAGATATCAAATTGTTAAGATATAAAACCCAAAAGTATTTAAAACCCATATAGATTTTTTACAAAAATTATCCCCCAAAAAATGACAACTAATATATTTTAGTTCGCGGACCACAAAAAAAAAAGGCTTCACGGGCCGCCAGTTGGTAACCACTGGTCTAGACTTACGTTGCTTTTGCTTCTTGCTCTTACTTTTGTTAGTAATGTTAAGTAAAAAACTTACTATTATAAAAATAATCATTAAATATTTTAAATATTTAAAGGTGTAATACCAGTTAAATTTTAATCTGTCTAGCTCTATAAAGTGAAACATGATGTGCAGTCAATGTTTTTCTACAAAGCCAAGTTTAACTCTATCTTACCTAAACAGTAAAGACTTTTGATGTTCCAGATGCCATCTCGTACGCATTCGACTCGACTTGCAGCACTAGGTGTGTGACCTGAGTCACAGAACAATGTAGCAGTCTTACGAGTCAGTTGGAGTCGTCCATATTCTATATACAGGTGAGGATCGACACAGATGGGAGCTGTCAATGAAAATGTAAATAAGTGGAATTGGATGAAAGAAATTGCACTGTATAAAGCAAAAGTTATTTATTTAAATGGAACAGTTAAAGGGAGTTGGTGGAGCATATACAAATAATGCTGAAAGGGTCCTTTTTCGATGTCTCTTTTCTCAGCATCTAAACAAGTTATTGTTTCAGTTTTTTTTTCCAAAAATATTTACATATATTGGGAGTTTTTAAGAGATGGCTTTGGTGTTATGAATCTTTCATAGTGACAGCTGGTTTCGGTGGTTTCAGAGAGGTTAAACATCTGTCAATAATATTCAGTTTATATCGCTTTGAGTTTCCTACAAAAACCCTGTTCTTTACTTTGGTGAGTATGTCAAGTTTTGTGGTAACGGAGCACCATTTGCGGGAGGTTTTATCTTTCTATTCTTCTGGAAGAAAGTGCAGCTGAAGCGCATCGAATACTTGTAGAAGTTTATGGTGACAATGCTCCAACTGATAAATCATGTAGGGAATGGTTTCGACGTTTCAAGAATGGTGAATGGTGTTGTATACTATGAGCTGCTACAATCTGGTGATTCCATTACGGGTGATCGGTATAGGCTACAATTAATTCATTTGAGCTGTGTATTACGAGAAAAACGGCCGGAATACGAGCAAAGACATGATAAAGTTATTCTTCTGCCTAATAACAATCAGCCTGATGTCACAAAAGTCGTAAAAAATTATTTGGAAAGGCTCAAGTGGGATACTTTACCGCACCCGCTGTATTCGCTGGACATTTTTCCTTCTGAACTGGTTGTCCCGACGGATGCAGCATGATATGGCAGGTCACCTATTCACTTCTTTCGCAGAAATCGAAAATTGGCTCCTAACTTGGACCGCCTCAAAAGACGAGACATTTTTTCGAGATGGAATTCGAGAATTGCCTGAGAGGTGGGAAAAAGTAGTACTCAGCGATGGACAATATTTTGATTAATCTGTTCATTCATTTTTTTCTGAAATAAATGCATTTTTGATCACAAGAAAACGGACCGAACTAATTTGTACACCCAATACATATTTACATTATGATAACTCTTAATAAAATCCTTTAGCAGAATTTTTTAAAAAAAATTATGAACTGAGAACTTTTGATTTTTAAAAAAGTTTCATCAATTTTGAGAAAATTTTTTTCATAGCTCAAAAAGTATTCCTCTTGACGCTAAAATGTTATCGCAGCATGCAACTGATATAATCTCAAATATCCCGGAAAGATTTCAAAACGATAGTTTAAGTAGTTTCATAGAAAAGGTACATAGAAAAAGGTGAGTTTAAGCATTATTGATATATGCCTCTCCGACTCCCCTTAAACAAATAAGGCAAACCATATTCTATTTACAGATGAAGAGAGATACACGTGGGAGTTGTCAATCAAACTGCATCTACACTATATGAGTGGACTTGGATTGAGCAAATGGCATTTACCCAATTGAAGTAGTTAATCGATTAAAGCCGATCATATTCTATGTAAGGGTGATGATCGACACACGTGGGAGCTGAATGTATCTACACGATATAAGTGGAATTGGATTGAGCAAATGGCATTTACCCAATTGAAGTAGTTAATCGATTAAGGCCGATCATATTCTAGATCAACTTGAAGATACGATCAGCAAAAAAATGTATTTAACGCTCATCAGTAGCATTTAGAACAAGTGAATGGCATAGTATCAATTTGAGAAATTCCAGCTGTTAATCAGCTGTTTCCGACTATATTCAATGGCAGTTGAGGATCAGTACAATTTGGATCCGCAAATAAAATGCATCTATAAAATCTCAGAAACTTTAGAATAAGTCAACACTATTTGTTCAATTAAAGTTAAATCTATTAAAGTCTATCATGTAAAAAAAAACGGTGACAAATTTTAAATCAAAACTTTTGCAACTGATTTTAAATTGCTCTAATAGCAACAAAACTTGAGACAAAAAATGTTAGTTTTTTTTTATAAAAATGTCCATATCTCCAAAAACATTTAGGCTAGGCTTGCGAAATTTTGTGCAATTATTTCATATAATAACTGAAGTAATTGTTACAAGTTAAAAATTTATTGCCACAATTTTTGGCATAGAATGTTCAAAAACACTGTTTTCCTTTTGTAACTTATTTTCGGTCCCTTAAGCCTCTAAAGAGCTTTAAATTTCATTGATGAGTATGAGAAATTTCCTGACCTAAACACCTCTGAAATTTTAAATTAATTCTTTAAGCATTTCTTCAGAAATATTAAAAAATATAATTGTACAGAATTGTTTCCATTATTTTGTTCACCTTTTGTATATATCACAATAAAGACAAGAAAAAGAATAAAAGAAAAGAGAGATTAGCGAAGAAAATTAAGAAGAAGAAGGATAAGTTTTATTTACTGTGCATAAGCTGCAAATACATGGAACCCATTAAAAAAAAAGGCGAAATTACAGTGAATGCATGGAAAGAGGAGAAGAAAAATTATTAATAAATAAAACAAATATCTATGTCTTCATTCTATTTTTAATTCCTTTATTCACTTTCCTAACGTTTACTTTTTCTTGCAAAATAACAATTCCATTAATTTCAAGGAAAAAGAAAAGAAAAGGAATATATTGGATTATTAGTTAAAGGAAGACGTAGTAATATTTTCTTAAGTTATTAGAGTTTAAAAATTTTCTTCTCAGAACGTTTTTTTAAAATTTTCTGAAGAGAGGGAGAGAGAAAGAGGGAGAACTTCAGCAATTTTTCTTCTTCTAATAAATCTAATTTCTAATTATTGAATTGAAATTATCTGCTGAAATATATTGTTTGCCATTTCTTGCACATTTCACTATTAATACTAACAGCATTAATATTAACAGCTAAATTTTTTAAGATTTACAAATTAGGGATTAATTAAATCAATATAAAATTCAACCCTTGCTAGCTAATATTAGCTAGATTTTAAATTTAGAATTTCCAGTTTATAAGTTTTAGATTTTTCAGCAAACATAAGAAATAAATAAACTTCCATATCTTGATTTTTTTGCCTTTTTACAGTAATCCGTACACCACTTGGATTTAAAAAGAGCTGCGAAAGCGATTCTGGATTTGCTGAGCATGATACAGCATCTTTTAAATGTATAAATGCCGAAAGACTTATGTTGATAAGAATATCTTTTTCTTGATGCATGCCAAAAGCATAACATAAAATATATGCTTCGAAAACAAAATTATTTCCTAACACAAGCATTTAATACATAGTTACAAAAAATTTAAACATCTTGATATATTTTGTCCAGTAATTATTACTTTTGAAACATATTTTTAGGATTATTAAATATTACTTTTGTATCTAGATAAACAGTTACAAACTAAGTATAAATGTAAATGAACATACTATTTATTCGTATATAATATTCTAGATATGCTGATTAAACCTCCGGGGCAGGCGTTGAAGTGTATTTTTTGAAAAAAATGTCTCATATTAAAAATTTCAATTCTTGTGAACAATTCGACCGATTTCATTAAAATTTTGTACTTAAAATTACTACTTTAAGGTTATGTAAAAAATGGAATGTTATACGTTTCTAAATTTTTCGATTGTTCTCGAATAAAATAACATAATGCAATAAATAACTATTAAAAATTATTTTGCTTGTGGAATTATCTTTGCATAAAATAACTTATTATCTGCCAAAATTTTCTGATTCATTTCAAAATATTGGAAAATACCCCAAAAATAAAATTAATATTGAGAGGCCTAAGCTTTCGTCTGTCTCCTAACTAAACTAGTTTTGCCATTTTGCTGTTACCCTTTATATGATCTGATGAATCTGATTCGGTTTAATGCTTATTTGGAAAAAGGTTAAAGTGGCAGTGCCAATTATATTTTGTTTTCTAAATGCTTATCTTGTTATTTTTCCATGCAATTAATTTTTTTTCCTCTTCCAGGTGTATTTTTTTCCTATAAATATTTTTACGTTTTTATATAATAAGTATTTTTGTATTATAAAATTTTTTTTATTTAAAGAAAACATATTTTATTTTTCATGAAAAATGAAACAGAAATATTTTTTCTCAAAATATTGGGTTCTGACTCCCCAAATATTGAGGGATATGAACTTCTCAGACCCCCTCCCCCCCGATTGCGTCGTTCTTGCTCAAACCACAATATGGGGGAGTTTTGCTGCAACTTTACAAGGTTAAATAGAATCATGTTCCCGTTCAACTCGAACCATAGAATTGTGTCATCAACTTTGTTGTTGTTTCTAATGACACTTGGACAGGCCAAGCTTCTCCGTCTATTGGTTTTTCACGAATTAAGTCAGAAAGGTGCGTCTTTCGTTTGACAAGAAAGCACCGCAAGGGTGAAGTGCGTCACATCTCAGAATTCCACAGACAGATGGAAACACAACTCATACGTGAGGCTACTTTATCAATTTTGACATATAACTGAAGCAGAAGGAAATTGTCCCCAGATACCTGTGCATCTGTACTCGACCACAATACTTTTGATTCCACAGATTTTACGAGCACGAATATTAGATGCAATGGTCTGCTCTTAGCGACGGCAAAGATCGAACCACAGCCGGTTATTAAATTTAAGAAGTAAGATCATATGGTTTGACTTAACACCCTGTTAAGTAAACGAACGATGTTACAATTGAACATGCCCCAAAATATCTTACAGCATAAGAAAAATTTGAGTTTAAATATACTTACAAGTCAAAACAAAGGCTTTAATTTCACATATTTGAAGAGGCTTTGAAGATAGCGATTTTATTTTTACACCTATGGCATCTCTGTTGTTACGACAGGGACACACATGATATGCCCATCCTAAACGAGCTAAAAATTTTTTAAAAAAAAGATTAATACTCCAATTTTGAAAATAAAATTGTGTATGAGATCATGAAAAAAAATCTTTTTACTAATACTATCCGTTTGAATTCCACAGCTAATTTCTGATCCATTTTTCCTTAAAAGTAGAACCTCATAAGCAACTTCTCCTAAAATTAATCAAACGTAAAAAGAGCACTTGAGAGGTATATAGAGAACTTAACCATAGACTTACTATATACTTAACTGTATACTTTATACAAATAGAGAGAATTTAATTTAAGAGTTTATTTAAAACTATTGACATTGCGTCCATTTTTGTTTTGCACTAAAGATTGCTTCAAATTAATTTCTAAACGGTTTAGAACTATATAGTTTTTTAACAAAATGTAGCACACGTTTAATGCTTAAAAACTTTGGACATTTTGAAAATAATATTGTTAAATATCGCTCTCAACTGTAAAGTTGTCAAAATAGCATACGCTACGAGAAACATGAGTTTATTTAAAAGTTTGAATAAAAATAATATCTGCTAAATAAGATTTAATAAAAAAAAATCAACAATTAAGACTAAATAAAAAATTATGCTGCCCGATAAACAACTTTTTTTTAAATATTGTACTAAAAAACAAAACGAAAAGAAAAATGGAATTGTTAAATATTTAATTGCATTAGTTGTAAATGATACAATACAAGTTGAGCTGGAAATTAATCAAAAAGTATGAACGTTGTTAAATTTTTTAATGTTTATTCACTAGGTTTCCGCTTTATATATAAAAATAACCACTGCTCACTTCAAAAAGTTCGGAATTTTTTAAAAATGACAAAATAAAATAATTGTTAAAACATTAAAAACAGAGCAAATTTTCTACAGTTTCGCACGAAAAAAATATGAAGTTAAATTTTGAGTGTGATTTATAAGAGTCGAGTTCATATAACTTCGACTAATTTTTCAAATAATATATAGTTTGTTTTAAAATGCAAGACATTCTTGTAAAAAAATTTAAAATGATCAAAGGAAAAGTCGGTAGTTTATTTGGATTCATTATTATTTATTATTCATTAAACCACAGAATTTTACTTTGCTTTCTTTAAACATTTTACAGGAAAGTTTTGCAACAAATTTTAAGAGAGATTTTATACAAAATAAACATAAAACCTTTTAAAATTAGTCGAGGCTACATGAACTCGATTTTTATACGTTACATGAAATATGTCATTAATTGTTTTGTGTAGACCCATAGAAATAGTGATTATTTATAAAATTTTAAGTTTATTTAATTTCATACTTTTTCGTCTTAGGATTCATTAATTATTTGAAAAAAATTTCACCTTATTTTTTTCCAGCCTTCTAAAACCACTACTATAAGCAAAAAAATAAACACGTGGTTTCAGATAATTTAAGAAATACTAATTCGGTGATGTAGCACCGATCCATACGCCATTTACGTTGATGAATGAACTTGTAAAATGTAATTAAACATTAAAGAACGTGAGAAAAAATCTCAAACAGAATCGTCTACAATTTTATCCATAACAATGGCAAATGTTAAACTTTAATGCGAAAAAAAAATTCTTTTTTTCAAACATATCTCTCGAATGTTCGAATTTCTCGGATAGGAGGCTAAAGTGACTCTTCTTAGTCAATATCCGAATTTTAAGACCTTAACGCCAACGGTTCTGGAGTTATAAGAGATTTAAAATAGCGTTCTGCGACAAGAACAGACAAAATACTCAGTAAACAAAGTAAAGTTAGGAAATCAGTACAAGCTAAATTTGGTTTACTGTCAAAAGAAAAATAATTATAATAAAAGTAGCGCATCTACCTTGCGGCATAAAAATCATGATTCTTATCAATTCTCCTGGATCCTTAAACATTCCCATCCAATAGCTGTCATAGCCATCAGTTGTAGATGAGCAAGTATTTCTATCATCATCCTTTGCAAAATGAGCCTCGTGTTCTTCTTTCGGTTCTGCAGTACTCGTTTGATTCACAAATGATATATCCGTTGGAAAATCTGAATTTTATGAAAAAATCCTTTTATTTATTAAAATTTTTTCTTTCTTCCAAATGTGTGTAATATTTATTAAAAATATAATATTCGGCCTGAAAAATTTGAGTAAGAAAATATAGTTTCTGTGGGTTTTCTTCTTGTTTAGCACTTAACTAGGCGTTTTTCTTCGTACCTCTTTTGGGACTGGGATTGATTTATAAAAAGAAATCCCATTCTACTCATTACCTAAAATGAATTTGATTTTTAGAACCATTTTCTTATGGAAATGTGAGTTTTATGTTCAACCCGCTGGAAAGAATTGGCCGTATGCCTGAAATTCTGTGCTTAAAGGAATTATAAATAAACGGAATTAGAAATTCTGTGTTTATAAAAATGTGTGTATAACTGTTTAATTTTATGTTAAAGAGCTAATAATGGTGTTAATTAATAAAGTAATGAATATTTCTTTTTAAATATCAAGAAAATATTCTGAATTATGTCAATAATTTTGCAGGAAATGAATATTTGATTTTATAAAGTAGGTCTTTTTTTAAAAATCTATATTATATAAAACGCTAATACGTACGTATGTATGTATCAATAAAACCGATGATATTTCTTTTCTCGCGCTGGCAACAGTTTTCATTTTTAATTGATAGGCTTCGGCGCGCAAGAGCACGTAGTGAGCATATCATATGTCTATCTATCTCCGATTAACACCGAGAAAAAAACGATTGGTTGGTTATGAGTACTGAAATAGTTCCTTTTCATTGGCAGAAATGAGAAGTGTTATGCTATTGCTATTTTATTTTGAATTGAGCGCTTTACTATTCCACGTTTTGTTATATTATCTTTACATCCGGCGTTCAGTGGCAGACTACTATTTCATATTGTTTTACAACACATGGCTTTAGCCCTTTTGTGGGAAAGACTTTAAAACAAAACTTACAACAGTTACTTTTCTCAACAACTGAAATTTAGAATAGTGTGATTAAGAAAAATATGTGAACTGTTTGCAATTTCAAAT